TATGGCATGTATACTAGTATATATGTAACTATAGAGATAGACACACATACAATAAAGGACAAGTAACCAGAAAGAAAACCTTCAAATAAAAAAAAAATGGGTAAATGCTTCAACAGATGCCCTCATTAAAAATATCTAAAGAGCCAACAAGCACATAAAAAAGTATTCAATATCATTACATGTCAATACAAATTACAACCAAAACAAAAAACCAGCACCCATTTATGATAAAAATCCTCAGCAAAGTGGCAACAGAGGAACCATACTTCAACATAGTAAAAGTCATATATGAAAAACCTAGAGCCATCATACTCAGTGGGCAAAATCTAAAAGCATTTCCCTTAATATCAGGAACAAGACAGGGATGTCTGCTTTTACCACTCTTATTCAACATAGTATTGGAAGTCCTAGGCACAATGATCAGACAAGAAGACATCCAAATTGGAAAGGAGGAAGTACAACTGTCATTATTTGCAGATGACATGATAGTGTACATAGAAAACCTTAAAGATTCCACCAAAAAACTACTAGATCTAATAAATGAATGCAGCAAAGTAGCAGGATACAAAATTAATATTCAGAAATTGGTAACATTTTTATTTTATTTTAATCTTCACCCAATCATTTATTGATTTTAGAGAGAGGATGGGAAGAAAGAGAAATATCGATGTGAGAGAAACATCGATCAATTGCCTACCATATATGCCCGAAAGGGGGATCGAACCCACAACCTAGGCATGTGCCCTGACCAGGAATCGAACACATACCTTTTGGTATATGGGACGATACTCCAACCAACTGAGCCACCTGGACAGTAGCCTTTTTATACAGCAACTGGAGGCCCAATGCACGAAAATTTGTGCAAGAGTAGGCCTTTCTTCCCCCTGCTACCAGCATCGGCTTCCCTCCAGCACCCGGGACCCGGGCAGCTTCCCTATAGCCACCAGGAGGCACCCAGAACCCGGGCTTTACTCCAGCCCCGGCTTCCGGACGTCCAGTCTAATTAGCATATTACCCTTTTATTATTATAGATAATGAACTATCAGAATGAGAAACTAAGAAAACAATCCCATTTAATATTGCAACAAAAAACGTAAGGTACCCAGAAATAAACTTAACCAAGGAGAAAAAAAAACCTGTAGATGGACTGGAAGAATGAACATCATTAAAATGTCCATACTACCAAAGCAATCTGTAGATTCAATGCAATTCCTATTAAAATACCAACTCATATTTCACAGATTTAGAACAAATATTTCAAAAATGTACATGGAGCCAAAAAAAAGGCCCCAAATAGCATCAGCATTCTTAAGAAAGAACAAAGCTGGAGGGATCACAACACCAAATATTATACTACAAGCCCACTGTCATCAAAACAGCCTAGTACTGGTACAAGGACAGGCATACAGACCAATGGAACAGAACAGAGCCCAGAAATCAACCCACATCTCAATGGTTAATTCATATTTGACAAGGGATGCAAGAACATACAATGGAGTAAAGACAGTCTCTTCCATAAATGGTGCTGGGAAAATTGGACAGGTATATGCAAAAAAAAAAAAAAAAATGAAACTAGGCTACCAACTTACACCATATACAAGAATAAATTCAAAATGGATAGAAAACTTAAAAGTAAGTCGCAAAACCATAAAAATCCTAGAAGAACATAGGCAGTAAAATTTCAGACAATTCATATAGCAGTATTTTCACCTATACATCTCCTAGGACAAGAGAAACAAAGGAAAATATAAACAAATGGGACTACATCAAACTAAAAAGCTTCAGCACAGCAAAAGAAACTATCAACAAAATAAAAAGGGAACCCACTGTATGGTAGAACATATTTGCTAATAATACATCTGATAAAGGGTTAATTTCCAATATCTATAAAGAACTTATACAACTCAACACCAAGAAGACAAACAATTTGATTAAAAAATGGGCAAAGAACCTGAATGGACACTTCTCCAGAGGACATACAGATGACCAATAGACATATGAAAAAATGTGCATCGTCCCTAATCCTCAGAGAGAAGCAAATTAAAACTACAATGAGGTATTACCTCACACCTGCCAAAATGGCTGCCAACAATTGTCAGGGCCAGCCTGACAGGGTTGAGCCGGGCTGAGGCAGGGAGGTGGGAATTGAGAAAAGAAAGAAAGACAGGAAAGCGGGGTCGGGAGGACCCCAGTTCTCTCGATGAACTGAAGCAACTTTATTAGCCACACAATACAATTTATACATAACACACTGAATAGGAGGTCTGCCAAGAGGAATGTATTCTTTGTTCCTCTTAATCTCTAAGGGAAGGACACAGCAGAAGGACAAGTTCTCAGTACAGCATATCTCAGTAAATAGTTACAGACTTCTTGGTAAAATATGATAGGCTGTTCTCATTCTACAAATGCTACTGATAACCATCCAAACAAGTCTGGGAAAACTGTGTGGATAAGGGTCCCAGCCTTGCTAGCCCCTTCAGGTGCAAGGACCTTGCCAGCTTACATCTGGCCCCCAACAGACAATAAATCAACAAACAAATAGTTCTGGTGAGGATGTGGAGAAAAAGAAAACCTGGTACACTGCTAGTGGGAATGCAGACTGGTACAGCCACTGTGGGAAACAGTATAGAGTTTCCTCAAAAAATTAAAAATAGAACTGCCTTTTGACCCAGTGATCCCACTTCTGGGAATATATCCTAAGAATCTCAAAACACCAATCAGAAAAGACATATGCACCCCTATGTTCACAGCAGTATTATTTATAATAGCCAAGGTCTGGAAAGTGCCCATCAGGAGTGGATAAAAAAGCTGTGGTATCCCTGACCAGTTTGGTTCAGTTGGTTGGACATCAACTCATGCACCAAAGGGTTGCCAGTTCGATTCCTGGTCAGGACACATGCCCAGGTTGTAGGCACCATCCTTGATGGCGAAGGGGGCGGGGGGCATGTGCAGGAGGCAGTTGATCGATGTTTCTCTCTCACATTGATGTTTCTTTTTCTTTTTCCCTCTCCCTTCCTCTCTCTACAAATCAATTTTTAAAAATCTTTTTTTAAAAAGCTGTTACATTTACGCAATGGAATACTAAGTAGCCGTAAAAAAGAGAAAACTCTTACTTTTTACAATAGCATGGATGGACCTGGAGATTATTATTCTAAGTGAAATAAGCCATACAGAGAAAGACAAATACCATATGATCTCACTTATATGTGGAATCTAATGAACAAAATAAACTGATGAACAAAATAGAACCAGAGGCATGGATACATGGAACTGTGGCGATGGCCAGAGGGAGGGGGGTGGGGGCTGGATGGAAGTGGGTAAATGGGGGCAGGTGGGGGGAATAGAGGACATCTGTAATATTGTCAACAATTTTAAAAAGAAAGAAAAAAAGATATTACCATATCTTTCATTCAATGGCTAAAATTAGAAAGTGCTGGCCAGATATTTGGAACAATTGGAATTTTCATGCATTGATTTTACAATTATAGGTGGAATAAACATATTTGAAAAAGTGGAATACCTACCAAACTAAACATGAAGTCTACCCTTTGATTTACTAATCTTATTTTCACGTTCAAAGCATTTACCAAGAGAAATAAGCGTAAGTCTGCCAAAAGAACAATTAAAAGGCAAAGAGACATTATGTTGAGAAAAGCCAAACATATAACTATACATACTGTATTTTAACATATATATAAAGATCAAGAATAAGCAATCCTAATAAATTGTAATAAAAGTCAAAATTGTGGTTGCTCTTCTTGTTTTGAGATCACAATGAACTTACATAGACGTATCTTCCCCTTTGGGCAGAGTGGCTTAATGGGACTGGACTATAGAGATAACAGTGCTGCTCCAAACTGGGGCCAACTCTATATAATCAATTGATGTGCCAATTGGGGGACTATAATAAATCAGCAAAATGATAATGCTAAAACTTGCCAAAAAATCTAAGAGCTGTATACAGCCATGATAGAGAAACTTACAGAGATGTTCGTAGAACTGCTGCTTGTAAGGAAACTTAAGCACTTACTATTCCATTTGAACCAATATGGATTGGTAAGATCAATAATTAGGAAAATGACTGGAAATTAGAGCCCACAGGCACCTATGCATCTGTCTCCCTGTCTCATGGTCCCACTAAACTAAAAATAAGGGATTCTATCCTCTGCCTTCTAATTCTCAAACTATTTTAGACAACTCTAACCTGGAACTGCATAAGGAAGTGATTCTGGGAAATGAAGTCCCAGCCATGCCCAAATTAACACACAGAAGCCAGCCCAACCAGCTTTACTTCTAGTTTTCTTGTCACAAGATCTTTTTACTCTGAAAACACTGGGTCCAATTCCCAGCCATGAGCAAGGCCAAAGAACAAAACACAAAAACTACATATCAGATGAGACACTTTTTTCAAGACCTTCACACTTATTAATTTCTGCTGAAATTACTTATTAGACAGAAAAAGCTTTGAGTAGTAAAAACTGGTAACTTCAAAAACAGTAGTTTCTCAGTAAAAAGGGGGAAAATATTGAGTAGGCAATTTCCAGTATCTGTTGTACTAGATCAAAATGAAATTACCAATTACAAAAGAAAGTTACAAAAGAAATTACAAATGCAAGAGTACATACCATAATCACTGCACACTTAGAGAGCAATGAGAGTTTATCAGAAACTAATTTTTTTTTAAAAAAGGACCACTCTTGCCTGCATGTGAAAAAATACACTTTAAGACTTAGTAATGGAAATAACATTTACATCTGAACCAAAATAAAAGCACCTCAGAATAAAACATTTCAGAGCTAAAAGGTATTGGAGGGAAATTTATCACCCTAAATATTCATTTCAGAAAATTAAAACCAGAACCCTGGCCAGGTAGCTCAGCTGCTTAGAACACTGTCCTGATACCTCAAGGTTGTGGGTTCAATTCCGTTAGGGTCCCTACAAGAATCAACTAATGGATACATAAATAAATAGAACAACCAATTGATCTCTCTCTCTCTCTCTCAAATCAATATTTCCCTGTTCCTTCCTCTCTCTAAGATCAATAAATAAATTTAAATTTTTTTTTAATTAAGTAACTAAAAACCAGAAATCATTGAGCCAACATTCCACTTTAAGGGTAAGACACTGATCTTTGCTTCTAGTATAAATTTTCTTAGACTTATTTCTTATGAATTTTGACTAATAAAATGTGATATTCACTAAGGCGTTACCACATGGTTTACATACAAAGGGTTTCACTCAGTTGTAAACTCTCAAGACTTCATAAAGATGAGCGACAATTTCCTTTCTTAATAAGAGGATGTCTCCACAGTGTGAGATCTCACATGTTGCCTAAGATTTGAAAAGCTTTGCAGACATTCCCATACTGCTTACATTTATATGTTTTCTCTAGTGTGAGTTTTTACATGTCTTCGAAAGTAGGCAGGGCAAACAAAGGCTTTCCCACATTCCTTACATTCATATGGTTTCTCTCCAGTGTGGCTTCTTACATGTCTTCGAAAGGATGAGGGACAACTGAAGGCTTTCCCACATTCCAGACACTCAAATGGTTTCTCTCCAGTGTGCATTCTGGCATGTACAGTTAGGTATGAAGAATGACGAAAGGCTTTCCCACATTCCTTACACTCATAGGGTTTCTCCCCAGTGTGCGTTCTCATATGAATCCTAAGAGCTGAAGGATAAATAAAGGCTTTTCCACATTTCTTACATTCATAAGGTTTCTCTCCAGTGTGAGTTCTTACATGTACTGTAAGGTGGGAGGAACTAATGAAGGCTTTCCCACATTCCTTACATTCATAAGGCTTCTCTCCACTGTGAGTTCTCAAGTGTTCAGTGAGGGATGAGGAACGACTAAAAACCTTCCCACATTCCTTACATTCATATTGTATCTTTCCAATGTGATCTCTCACATGTGCTCTAAAGGATGAGGGACAACTAAAGGCTTTTCCACATTCCTTACATTCATAAGGTTTCTCTCTACTTTGATTTTTCACATGGGTATTCAGGGACGTTAGAAGATAGAAGGCTTTTCCACATTCCAGACATTCATAGGGTTTCTCTCCAGTATGTTTTCTCATGTGGATACTTAAGGAGGAGGGACAATTGTAGGCCTTCCCACACTCCTTACATTTATAGGGTTTCTCTCCTGTATGTGTTCTGACATGTACAGTGAGTTTTGAGGACTCACTGAAGGCCTTTCCACACTCTTTACATTCGTAAGGCTTCTCTCCAGTATGAATTCTTATATGTATTATAAGGTGAGAGGAAGAACTAAAGGCCTTCCCACATTCCTTACATTCATATGGCTTATCTCCACTATGGATTCTTTTGTGTTTGGAGAGTGAGGAGGAGCAACTAAAGGCCTTCCCACATTCCTTACATTCATAAGGCTTATCTCCACTATGGATTCTTCTGTGTTCTGTGAGGGATGAAGAACAGCTAAAGTTTTTTCCACATTCCTCACATTCATAGTTTGTCTTTCCAGTGTGAATCTTCATATGTGCCCTAAAGAATGAAGAACAGCCGAAGGCTTTGGTACACTCCTTACATTCATAGGGTTTCTCTTCTGTGGGAGTTTTCATATGCTTCTTGAAACAAGCGAGAAAATGGAAAGCTTTCCCACATTCCTTACACTGATAGGGTTTGCTTCCAGTGTGAGAGCCAATGTGATTCTTAAGGGATAAATGATCCGTGAAGACCTTTTTACATTCATGGCATTCATAGGATTTTATCTCAGTAGTTCTTTTGGGCATATTAAGATTTGAAATTTGGCTGAAGGTTTGTCCACATTGATTTTCTTCGTTACGTTCATAGATGTCCTCCACCACATTACTTCTTTCAAAAATAAAAAGCACATTATTAGTAATAAATACATTTTTACCATTTTCAGTGACTATGTGTGTTTTTCGCCCTGTCAAATTATAAGCTGAAAGTTCTCAGAGAGGGCTCTACAATAGCCAATATTTATCACTGAATTTTTGACTAATCGGATTTTTCTCATAATTGCTTACAACTGTCAAATATTGAAGATCTGTCTCATTTGTGGGGGGGAAAAGTATCTTGTGAAAATTCTTTATGCAATCACAATTTTTTACCAAGTTTTATGTACATGGTTTTTAAATTTCATGACATTTTAAGATTCTCTTCTGAGGTACCACTTTCTTTTATATGAATGGCACTCACCTCAAATGTCTCTTGGGGTTTTTGTTTTTATAATCAATGCAATGGTATTCCCAGTTTTTGTATAAAATGGATGACCCGGAATCATCCTTTTTGAATTTTTCTTTTCTCTGTTGATTGGATGCTTTTTCTCCATAAATATTTTGCGAAGTGACTGATTCATTACTTTTAAGTTGAGTCTCCAAACCTGAAACAAAAGGTAAAGGTACCTATGAGCAAAGGGCTTTTGGCACTAAGGCTGTTTCAAGACATTGGTAATAAGCACAAGGGTCAATATGTTAAACAACTGACTAAGAAATAATTCCATGAAGATTGAGACTGATGGTAACATGAATAGGGTATTATTAGAATAAAACAAAAAGGAACTGGATAAAATGTACATGACCAAATACTAACTTACAGAGAGGAAAGTCTTTTCCAAAAACAAAGAAAGTGTGAGAGGACTAATAAAATGTCATAACAGTAATCACTGGTATCTGTGAAAAATCTGCCTCTCAGACAAAAGTTTCATTTTGCTTTTATTTTATGTTTCCAAATGCAATATCTCCCAACCAGGACAATTTCTCACAAGAATTCTTGCCTTCCTGGTGCTCCCCATGGATAGTCCCTCTCTTTGTTATCTCCAGGTCCTCCTCTTGTTTCCACTGGAAGATCAGACAGGGTGTATATAGTGGATACCCTATTAATGCAGAAAGGCATATCACATGAAAGAAAACAATGAGAACCATAAACATTTCCAAGAGACAAAGCAAAACTTTGGTCTTCTGATACTATAAAGATGGGGCAAGTGTGAATTTAATTGCAACAAAATGTCCAAAAAAATTTTTAATGGGAGGAGGAGTTGTAACATAGCTTCTGATGTCTAGAACTGATCTGACTTTCATATCTAATCCTCAGTATTATTAGAAGTTGGTCTGATACTTACAGCCAGGACATTTTGTTCTCCTGCTGAACACAAATAATCTCACAGAATACCAATCTTAGACAAGGTTACTCTGATACCATTGTAAAATGAAATAAGACCATTTTAAAATTTAGTCTAAGGACAGGAAAAAATTTAGTCTAAGTACAGGAAAAAATTTAGTCTAAGGACAGGCACTATGCCACCCACAAAATACCCAATAATAGAATTTTCCCTACTTTCTATTAGCATCCAATCTACCCAAGTGAGTTCAATCCAAGTGGGTTGAACAGTATCCACCCAAAATCCATATCCAGCCCTGGCCAGTGTGGCTCAGCAGTTGGAGCATCAGCCCACACATCAAAGGGTCATGGGTTCAATTCCTGGTCAAGGGCATGTACCCGGGTTTCAAGTTCGCTCCCCACCCCATATGGGAAGCAATCAGTCAATGTGTCTCTCTTACATTCTCTCTCTCTCTCTCCCCCCGCCACGCTGTCTCTTAGTCTTTTCCACTCTCGCAGCTTCCCACCCTGTCTCTGCACTCTCTCTCGCGCTCTCTCTCTCTCTCTCTCTTTCTCTCTCTCAGTCTCTATCTATCTCTCTCCCACTTCCTTCCGTCCTTCCACTCTCTCTGAAAAAAAGCAATGAAAAAAAATCCTCATGTGAAAATTAACCAAAAAAAATTTATTTTTAATCCATGTCTAAATAGATTAATGAAACAGAATAGAGTTCAGAAATAGGTCCATAAAAATAGTCAACTCATTTTTTAAAAAAGGAACAAAGGCATACAATGGAGAGAAAAAATATTCTTTTTAACAAAGACTAGAACTAGATATTAACATCCAAAAAATGAATCTAGACACAAACCTTATACTCTTCACAAAATTTGATTTTACAGACCTAAATTTAAAATGTAAAACTATAAAACTCTTAAAAGATAATAGGAGAAAAATCTAGATGACCTAGGGCTTGGCAATGACTTGCTAGATACAATACCAAAGGCATCATCTACAAAAGGAAGAATTGGTGAGGGCACATACCCAGGTTGTGGGCTCAATCTCCAGTAGGGGGCATGCAGGAGGCAGCCGATCAATGATTCTCTCTCATCATTGATGTTTCTATTTCTCTCTCTCCCTCTTCCTTCCTCTCTGAAATCAATAAAAATATATTCTTTTAAAAAATAGTTTAAAAAAAAAAAAAGCAATGAGATACCACTATACACCTATGAGAATGGCCAAAATCTGGAACACTGACAACACCAAATGATGATTAGGATGTGGAGCATCAGGAATTCTCATTCATTGCTGGTGAGAATGCAATATGGTGCAGCCACCTTGGAAGACAGGCTGGGGTTTTTTTTATAAAACTAAACATAACAATCCCATAGAACAGACAATCCTGCTCTTTTGAATTTACCCAAATGAGTTGAATGCAATATGGTACAGCCACCTTGGAAGATAGGTTGGAGGTTTTTTCTAAAACTAAACATAACATTCCCATAGATCAGACAATCCTGCTCTTTTGAATTTACCCAAATGAGTTGAAAACATCCAAACAAAACTTGCACACACATTTACAGAAGCTTTATTCATAACTGCCAAAAGTTGGAAGCAGTAAAGATGCCCTCTGTAGGTGAATGGATAAATAGATGGTGGTACATCAAGACAATGGAATATTATATTCAGTGCTAAGAAGAAATGAACTGTCAAGACATAAAAGAACTTTAAATGCATGTTACTAACTGAAAAAAAGCTAATGTGAAAAGGCTACATACACATATACTGTATTAATTCCAAATATATGACCTTCTCGAAAAGGGAAAACTATGGACATAGTAAAAACATCCATACTTGCCAGGGGTTAAAAGGGAAGGAGGGATGAATCGATGGGGCACAGAGGATTTAGGACAGTAAAACTACTCTGTATGATATTAAGACAGTGGGTATGTCATTATGTTTGTCCAAACCATAGAAGGTACAACACCAAGAGTGAAGCCTGATGTAAACTATGGACTCAGGTGATGAGGATATGTCAATGCAGGTTCATCAATTGTAACAAATAACCCGCTCTGATGGGGGATGTTGTGCATGTGTAAGGGTAAAGGGGTATATGGGAAATCTCTATACCTTCTGTTCAATTTTGCTGTGAACCTAAAATTGCTCTAAAAATAAATTAATGTTTGGGTCTTTTTTTAATTCATGTGCAGAACCTCAGAATGCTTCCTTATTTGGAAATAGGGTCATGCCTAAAACTGCTCTAAAAGTAAATAAATGTTTGGGTTTTGTTTTTTTGTTTTAATTCATGTGCTGAACCTCAGAATGCTTCCTTATTTGGAAATAGGGTCATTGCAGATATAATCACGTTAAGCTGAAATTATACTGGAGTAGGGTGGGCCCTAAATCAAATAACTAGTGTCCTTATACCATCCATGGGCAAACTACGGCCCGCGGGCCGGATCCGGCCTGTTTGAAATGAATAAAACTAAAAAAAAAAAAGACCGTACCCTTTTATGTAATGATGTTTACTTTGAATTTATATTAGTTCACACAAACACTCCATCCATGCTTTTGTTCCGGCCCTCCAGTCCAGTTTAAGAACCCATTGTGGCCCTCGAGTCAAAAAGTTTGCCCACCCCTGCCTTATACAAAGGGAGGGACTTAGAGACAGAGAGAAGACAGAGGCAGAGATTGGAGAAATGTATCTGCAAGTCAAGAACACCAAGGATTTATTTCTCGCCACCACCAGAAGCCAGGAAGAGACAGGCAGGATTTTTTCCAAAAAGCTTTCAGAAGGAGCAAGGCCCTCTGACACCTTGATTTTGGACCTCCAGATTCAGAAATGTGAAAGAATAGGTTTCTTTTGTTTTTAGTCATCCAGTTTGTAGTATTTTGTTACAAAAGGCCCAGTAAACTAATACAGCCTGCTTGCATAGACCCATCCCCAAATCACTAAAAGTTCAAATCCTATCATATGTACTTTCTAAAACCCTCTTACTATGACATCCCACAGCTCCTATGTCATGTATTCTCCCTTGCTGCACTGAGTAATTAACCCAACTTGTTTAACATTGGGTTAATTATGTTGCTGGTGGTCTTTTAGTAAAGGGCATTGATGGCAGCCAATTCTCAAAAGGACCCAAACCATAAACCTCCCTGGGTCCCTAAGAGACCCCTCAAATTATATATATTTATTTTAGAGGCCTGGTGCACGAAATTCATGCACTGGGGGGAGAGGGTGTCCCTCAGCCCAGCCTGCACCCTCTCCAATCTGGGACCCCTCGGGGGATATCCAACTGCTGGTTTAGGCCCCATCTCACAATCCGGGACTGCTGGCTCCCAACCGCTCACCTGCCTGCCAGCCTGATCACCCCCTAAACACTCCCCTGCCAGCCTGATCAACACCTAACTGCTCCCCTGATGGCCCAATTGCCCCCAACTGCCCTCCCCTGCTGGCCCAGTCGCCCCCAACTGCCCTCCCCTGCAGGCCTGGCCGCCCCCAACTGCCCTCCCCTGCAGGCCTGGCCGCCCCCAACTGCCCTCCCCTGCAGGCCTGGCCGCCCCCAACTGCCCTCCCCTGCAGGCCTGGCCGCCCCCAACTGCCCTCCCCTGCAGGCCTGGCCGCCCCCAACTGCCCTCCCCTGCAGGCCTGGCCGCCCCCAACTGCCCTCCCCTGCAGGCCTGGCCGCCCCCAACTGCCCTCCCCTGCAGGCCTGGCCGCCCCCAACTGCCCTCCCCTGCAGGCCTGGCCGCCCCCAACTGCCCTCCCCTGCAGGCCTGGCCGCCCTTGACCACATGGGGGCAGCCATCTTGTGCAAGGGTATGATGGTCAATTTGCATATTGCCTCTTTATTATATAGGATTAGAGGCCCGGTGCACAAAATTCATGCCCAGGTAGGATCCCTAGGCCTGGCCAGTGATCAGGCTGTCGGGGCCTTCCAGCTGCTGGTCAGGGCCTTCCTTTGTTCCATGCCGCCCCCTGGTGGTCAGCGCACATGATAGCAAGCAAACTCCCAGTCTCCCAGTTGAACTCCCGAGGGACACTTTGCATATTAGCCACATATATAATTAATTGATTTCAGAGAGGAAGGGAGAGGGAGAGAGAGATAGAAACATCAATGATGAGAGAGAATCATTGATTGGTTGCCTCCTGCACGCCTCCCATTGGGCATGTGCCTTTGACTAGAATCAAACCCTGGACCCTTTAGTCTGCAGGCTGACACTCTATCCACTGAGCAAACCAGTTAGGTATGCCCACACTTTCAACCACAATAAAAAGTCAGTTCAGCACACAGATGTTTATTTTCATGGTGAAGCCCCTAGACTACAAGTTCCTTGGGGTCAGTGACCATGCCTGTCTTATTCACCAATGTCTTCCAATTCTTCAGCCCAAATCCTAGCATAAGGAATAAGGCTGAGTTGTCAGATTTGTTTTCTAAACAACTAAATAAAGGAATGCTGCTATTCTTACCTAGCGAGGCCAGGTTCCGGAAGTTCTCCAGCATCACCTCTCTGTAGAGGCTCCTCTGAGCACGATCCAGCAAAGCCCACTCCTCCTGGCTAAAGTCCACAGCAACATCCTCAAAGACCACTGAGTCCTGAAACATTCCACATATTCTGATCAGAAAGATATCAACTCCCCAAATGTGTTCAGGAGGATGGATGATGCTGACAATACAGGGGAAAGGAACCGAGAATCCAGTCATGGGAAGTTCTAAAGATTTTATGGTCTCCTACCATCAACCCCTGGACTCAGCCATCAGATCTTTCTCCCCACACATCCTTCCTAACTGATAAAATCCTGTCTCCCAGACTGAATGAAACTTCAAAAACACTCAATTTATCTCTCCATGGTTCAATGGTAAACAATTCCAGTCTTATAATGATCCAGACCAGTCCAGGGCATAAAACAAAAATGAGATAACTGGTCTAAAAATTAAATACAGCAGGTCCTCAAATGACTTCATTTTGTTATAATGATGATGAGATGTTGTGAGAACTTAACTCATCTATATCAATCTATGGTGAAACTGGTTTCCGTATCCATTGTTTTGCTTTAAGTTGCAGAACCTACCAACAATGTTAAGTGAGAAACAATTTCACCTGCTTCCTTCTCTCCCACTATAGCAATCAGCACAACATGAAACGAAGGGTCAAATCCGGATGAGGTTTTAATGAATAAAAATGCACTGAGAGAAAGGAGCTTTCCATTTTTTTCATAAACCCGAGAGGCCCAGAAGCCTGCAGACAACACAACTTTTCAACCCAGGCCCCCAGGTGGCCATATTTTCTTAGACTCTAGTCCAGGGCTAAATCCAGCCTACCACCTGTTTGTGTAAGTAAAGTTTTACTGGAACACAATCAAACATGTTTATATGATGTCTATGGCTGCTATCACACTACAGTGACAGAATTTAGTTCCAACAGAAACTCAGGCCTTCAAAGCCTAACATACTATGTGGCCCAACAAAGAAACAGGTTGCTAATCCCTGCTCTAACAATCAGACCGATGAGCTGGTGAAATGGGAATATTCTTTTGGAGAATTATTAGCTCTTACCTACCTGTGTCATGTTTTTCTGTAACTCAGCAGCTCTTCTTTCTTTGTCCATTCATGAAGAAAGGCAGACTATTGAGAAGTTACCACTGAGGCAGGAGAAAAAAGACATCATAATTTAGATCTCCCCACAATTTGCACACTCATGAGCTTGGATGCTGCAGCACATTATGAGTTACCATTCCCCCCAAAACACACACACACACACACACACACACACACACACACACACTACACACACATACACATATACACACACACAACACCCATTCATAACAGTAGCAACATTACAGTTATGAAGTAGCAACGAAAACAATTTTATGGTTGGGTCACAACATGAGGAACTGTATTTAAAGGGCCAGAAGGTTGAGAACCACCAATTTAGATCTTCCCACAATTTGGACATTCATGAGCTTGGATGCTGCAGCCTTGTAAAAAAGTGGAGCAATCTTACCTCATGTAGAGCTAGAAACTATGCTCTGGTTCTTGTTGGCCTTTTTTAAAAAAAAAAAAAAAAGATTAATAGTCCCATTTTGCAAGTAAGTTAACTGAACTCTAAAAGCTTAGCTAATACGGAAATCAATTTGCCCGTGATAATGAAAAGCATAAAAAGTTCCAGGCAATACCTTTAACCTTAAGAAAATACTAAGAATATACACTCTGTCTCAAATCCAAGAAAGTACTGACTAATATACCAGACTTCTGGGTGCTCCGTTCCCAATATTCCTTACTCTGCACCCTTGGCAAGCTAACAGGCATTACTGCTCAGCTCCTAATCACTGGACCTTCCCCCCAGGGGCTGCAGGATCCCTGAAACCTGGTTTATGAGAATCAACTAACTAAATTCCACACACAGGAAGCAGAGAAGACTACCATGCTATAATCCTCATGCTGCCTGTACAGAAGCAACAGAAAAGTAACACTTAGGTGAAGTTAGCAATGTGTGTCATCTCTGGTAGTAATATCTACAGTGCTGTTGCACAAATTTCAAATAATTTCAAATAATGAAAACACAACTGTTTCTTCCACTGCGGTGGATCAAGTATGTATTTCAAAGCCAATAAAAACTGAATCATCAACCACAGTTTTTAGTATATTAATAATATGTTCCATGTGAGCAACCATGATGTGAGAATGACTTTGCAAAGAGATGCCCACAGCTTTGCAAAGAAATTATTTATATTTCATAGAAACTCTGCAAATCAGGTATCATTATAACTAATTTATAGTGGAGAAATCTTAGAGTCAATTAACCACTCACTCAATGTTCCCCAGTTAGAAAGCTGCTCTCTCAGGCTGTGTGTGCAGGTCTATTTATCTCAAGTCCAAATGGCCAATGAGTATATTTCTGAACGTCTACCTTACAACCTAGTTGTTAGTGAGGCCCTTATTCCCTAACATTACCAGGGTCTGGCCTAGAACCCTGTTGGACACACTGTGCAGAGTA